CGCTCTATCCATTGAGCTAACTGGGAGGCGGTATGGAGACCAGTATGGAGAATATGAATACTGATGGTAGGATGCAAAGGAAAGTAGGGTGCTTAGAACTAGAAAACTATGGAAAGAATTGGTTGGACTGGCCCCCATTTCTGACTGATCAGGGAGGGGAAGCTCCTTATTTTATTGCTGCAAAACAGCCTATCCATAAACTGGATAATGCTGTGCGCGCTTGGAACAAACGAGAAGAGGTACATAAGTTATATACCCCGCTGATTTCCCATTTACGAAATGATTTGAGACAATTATGTCCACGAGAGTCTCAGAAAAAGAATATAATTGGCGCTTTTATCACTGTTTTTACAATTTTCATCTTAGATGTCTCAACAATCAGCCAAAAGATTATTTTGAAGATGATCTGGTAAGTGGCGAAGTGCGTAACAATGCTTTGAGACGCTTGATAAGGGTTTTGCACAGGGGATCTTAGTACGTGAACCAGCGGTATATTCCACGAATGTTTTTTTTTCTTGTCATTGTTAGAGTCGTCGAACCTCAGGCAAGACACCATATTATTTTCCCGAGAAGTTTGGTAAGTTGGTCGGCGTCAAGAAACGTCCATTAAAAGACGACGAACAGCAGTTCATGCTTACTTATGAGGTTGACGAAGTTATGACAAGTATGGTGACGCTTCAAATCAGTGCAGATGACATCATTCTCATATACAACAGGTTCGTATAAGTCACAAAATCGCTTCGTTACGGAAAAGTTCGTAGAAACTTCAGAAAAATGTTCAAAGCCGATTGACGCATCAGAAAAATGCGTTCAAACTTTGAAGCCACGTCATGCTACTTGGCTGCTTAGGACTGAGAAAACAATTGCTCAGTTATCCTCCTCGCCGAGTCACGACGACATGGGAAATATTGGCGGGGACCCTTTCTTTCGAAAAAAAAATTTCCATGATCTGTAGACAAGGCCTTTTCAGTTGATAGTTTCCTTTTGCTGCACCCAATTAATAGGGGTCTTGGAAAGTGCAATGAACTACAAGTAAACAACCGATTCCACTCTTTCAGGGCCTCTGGTAAGATATTGAAGGCGTACGCCCAGGACTTTGAAGCGGTGTCACAAGATGGTCATTTGTTTGTTGTGGTTCAAAACACGGGATATGTTACAGCTGATTTCGCTGTAAGTATGATCAATTCCGTATGTATGATCAATAATGTGTCTGGCTGGCATGCAGCTTTCTCAGTTCAGAGAACTCGATAAATGTACATTGGAATACCGTAAACTGAATCATAAACGAAAAAGTATTTGTGTTTTTTTTTTTTTACACATTCTGTGCCTTTAAGGATTATACAGATATTAAATCAATTTGTAAATGTCCATGCGCTTCTTGAATTTTTCGATCTCATTATTTATAATGTTCAGGTGGAAAAATTTCTTTTTACATTCTACAGTTTATACTAGAATTTAGGAATTAATAATGCGTACCTATCACTGCTATAATATCAAAGAATTTTGCACGTTGGGAAACAAAGTGTCTTTGAACATCACATTTAAAATCCCAATTGTTCTATAGTTTCGATTTACGTCGGTTTTCTGAGGATTCTTTATACAATTTAGAAAAAAACAGTCATGGACTTGCTAACTGTTTGCTCCGTTTTGTAGGTCGTGATATCAGAATGCTCAGGCGCAGAGGGAAAGTTCAGGGAGAAATCTTTATCAATAAATCCTCAGAAAACACACTTGTTCTCCTTTGATGTCCACGCGTATAACATGAAAGGCGGAAACTACTACTGTGTTGGTAAGAAGGGACAGTGACTCTGAAAAATGGGTTACCTGTGTAATCTGCATTGAGAGAAAGGAAACATGGCGGATTAAAAGTCAATTATTGATTTATCTGGGATGATTGCCTCCATCGAGGCCTAGTTTAGAGTAAAGATATCACCTAAGGCACTCAACGTAGTAGATATTTTATGAAAGGATTGTTGCTATTTTTTCAAGAACACACAAATTTATCTTTCTTAAGCTTCTCATATGCGTTGCCTCCGGCAACAGAGCTGCTTTTATATTCTGAAACAATACATGTACAATTTGGTGGTTTAATTTGCAGTAAAGCTGTTTGATTCCCGGGACAAAATGGTCGATAGCGCCAATGTCACCTTCACCACCACAGCACCGTGTGTTTGTGCGACAGGATGCGGCTGCAGTGTATGTATTGTCGAGTTGGTTTACATGATGGGTATATACGCTACATATATCAGATTCTGTGGTTTGTTTTCCTATTCATTGCCGCCTCATAGCGGCTATGAATAAAAAAGTGAAAGATCTTTCAATTCATTTGTTCATAGTGTTATGACACTGGTTTTAAATGCGTGGAAAGAGACGAGAAAGACTGGGACGAGGAAAAACCGACCGAGAGTGGCCTGGACTTTGGTGGCGCAGTTTCTGTATGGACAAAAGTCAAAAACTTCTTCAAGAAACTGGGAAAGATTCTGAAATTCCTAATATCCCCAGGTGGCATTGCCAGCATTTTGGGGATACTTTTGGCTCTTGGTGTTCTGAAGGCCGTCATGGGCCTCAGAAGAAAAGGGGCTGCCGTGGCACGCTTCGGAATGGGTGGTGTGAAAAAGGGTCGACATGAAAAGACAAACGATGCGGGGCAGATTGTGGTAGTAGAGTACAATAAAGAAGGAGAGCAAGTCGACCCCGTCACGTCAGTATAACGATCCATTCTTGTTTAAGGGGCAGGGTGCATGTCACTTCTACCCTGATGAAACTAGACGCATATTTGCGTGTACGCAGACGCATTTAACGGAAAAATCTGGGCACAGGCTTTAACATTTGCAAAGGATATAAAAAAATGTCATCCCCTCAGCCCGCTTTGTACATCCACGTGCTTTTCAACTAGTTCTTTAAGCCTGTACCTTGATATGTTAAGTCTTACTGATACAGATTTTTTAATATAATATAAAGTAATTATATAGAATGTCCTAGGCTGTTAAGCATACCTTTGTAAGTGGAGCTATGTCAAACTCAAGTTGTTGTTGTCACTCGATAAGCTGTCAAAAAAGCTGTGTTGCAGACTACAAGTGACTACTATGCTACCTGTCTCTAAAAGAATAACCTTTCTAGCAACGAAAAGGAGTGTTTTTCCAAAATGGAAACCCTTATTTAAAGTTAGTAACTTTTATATTTTGCAGTAAGGAGGTCACCAAGCCACGAAACAAAACCAAAGAATTTCTGTTCAACCTTAT